GTGTGGCCCCAGACCAGGGCAGGGCCACCTTCCAATGGCAGCCGACAGGGGTCTAGCAGTTGTGTGGGTGTAGAGCTGACGTCACAGCCAAGGACACTGGCCAAGGGCAGAACCAAAGCGCGTTGCACTGTCCTCCGGCCTCTAATGCCCGTCAGTCTGCGTCTGGAGTCCTGCCGCTCTGTGCCCTGCATTTCCTCCAGCCCCCACCAGCCTTCTCCTGTTCCCCCACCCTTTCGGTTCCTCTGTCTCTGCCTCATGTGCTCTCAGCCTCTTCCTGATTATACTCAGGCTCAGTGAATGTTCCCGCCCTGGCTGACGCTCCATCTTTGTCATACCCCAGATTTTGGACATTTGGTTTCCACAGTGATACAGAAACACTTCCAGGGTGGGCGTGTGGAGTAACAGTTAAGTCCCCAGTGCGCACACCTCCTCTGCTTCAGATCCAGCTTCCTGCTAACATGCACCTGGGAATCAGGAGATGATGGCTTAAGTGCTTGGGTCCCTGCTACCCACATGGGAGAACTGGATGGAGTTCCAAATTCCTGGCTTCGGACTGGCCCAACCTTGTGGGAATTTGAGAAGGAACTAGTACGTGCAAGATGTCTCTATCTTCCTTTCAAATAATACGAAAGCAAAAAAATTTAAAATACAAAAACATTATGCATATTTAAATTTTAAAGAGTTTAAGCGTTCAGTGATTCATATATCAGGGTAGCACCCAGACAGGAGGGACAAGAGGGGAAACTTTTTTTTTAAGATTTTATTTATTAATTTGAGAGGCAGAGTTAACAGATAGAGGTAGACAGAGAGAGAGGTCTCCCATCCACTGGTTCACTCCCCAAATGGCCCCAAGAGCTGGAGCTGGATGGATCTGAAGACAGGAGCCAGGAGCTTCTTCTGGGTCTGCATGCAGGTGCAGGAGCACAAGGACTTGGGCCATCTTCTACTGCTTCCCCAGACCATAGCAGAGAGCTGGATCAGAAAAAGAGCAGCCGGGACAAGAAGCAGCACTCAAATGGCATGTGGGCACTGCAGGCAGAGTCTTGACCCACTGAGCCACAGCACTGGCCCCGAGGGGGAACTTATATAAAGTTATTTGCAAAAACAAAACAAAGAAAACAAGTTTGATCCATTGGTGTGCAAAGTTCCTCCCTGGAGGTTAGGGGGCAGTTGCTGATGGGTACCGTTTCTAGCTTCAATCTGCTTGTAGTTTGTTCTGGTAAGAGTTTAAAGTGCCGTAGCCACCCCAGTCCAATGGCCGCCCAATTAGAAATATCACTAACAATATCCACTTCTGGTTTCCATACCCGTTTTTCTAATATCCTTCCTGCCTGTGAACATCGGCCTGCAGCCCACCATTAAGAAGCTGGGACCTTTAGATCTGAGGCTGTAAAGCAATCCTCGAAATCTGTTTATTTGCTTCCAGAAATTAGTTATGGTTGTGTCTTATTCACCTCACCTCCGGAAGTCCTTGGCTCAGTCTGTGTTGTGCTGCTGTAACAGGAGACCTGAGACTGGGTCACCTATGCAGACAGAGGCTTATTTTCTTCAGTTCCGGGGGCTGGGAAGTCCAACACTGAGGGGTCTGTGGCAGGTGGGGGTCCCTTGCTGCATCCTCCTGGGGCAGAAGGTGGAAGGTGGGATTGAAAGAGGATGTTGGCCGGCGCCACGGCTCACTTGGCTAATCCTCCGCCTGCAGCGCCAGCACCCCGGGTTCTAGTCCCAGTTGGGGCACCGGATTCTGTCCTAGTTGCTCCTCTTCCAGTCCAGCTCTCTGCTGTGGCCCAGGAAGGCAGTGGAGGATGGCCCAAGTCCTTGGGACCTGCAACTGCATGGGAGACCAGGAGGAGGCACCTGGCTCCTGGCTTCGGATTGGCGTGGCATGCTGGCCATAGCGGCCATTTGGGGGGTGAACCAATGAAAGGAAGACCTTTCTCTCTGTCTCTCTCTCACTAACTCTGCCTGTCAAAAAAAGAAAAAAAAAAAAAAAAAAGGACAGAGGATGCTGAACTTGCTTTTCCAGCGAACCCGCTCTCTTGATAACAGCATCAATCCATTCATGAAGGCAGGGCCTCAAGACCTATTCATCTCTTAAAGGTTCCCTTCTCAGCACTGTTGCTGCGAGAGCTAAGCGTCTAATACAGGAACTTTTGGGAACGAATTCAAACAATACCAGTGTTGTTGTGGATTGGTTCTGGGAGGAGGAGCATGGTGGGGCAAGAAGCGCGGAGTCACCACACAGACCCCGGGAGTCGGGTGAAAGCGGGCTAGAGGCGAGCAGCTTGCAGACTTGTTTATTTCAGTTGGTGCAGCAGCTTATATAGCCGAGGCAGCCAGTCTGGTCAATGGGGTGGTTTATGCCGTAACCAATCACTGCCTGTTGCCAGATGAGCTCCTTTGCCAGGTGGGTTCTGAAGCCATTCCTAAGTAACTGACACTCCCTTGCCAGTGGCCATCTTGGCATGGTCTTCTCATTCCACCACATGCCAGTCTTAGTAACCCTTGACTCCTGAGAGCCTACGTTGGTTCCCGGCATTGTGGACTTGCTCAACAAGGGCCTGTTGGGTTACAAGTAATTACCATGATTACACAACAGCTACCACTGTGTGCCAGGCACTGGTCTGGCCCTCCACATTGATGATCTCTAAAGCAACTGCCATGATTAGCCCATTTTACATATACGGCTACTGAGTCTTGCAGCAATTACATGAATTCCCAAATCCATTTAGGTGGTAATTAGAAGAACTACAATTAGGCTATTGATGAGAAGAATTCTAAACTAGAAGGTTTCTGCACTCACTGGTCTTTGCCACTAAGTCATTTCTGATTTCTGTGTTAACACTCCACCTTCCTAAGTCTCAGTTTTCTTACCTGGGGAATCTGTTGGGTTAGAATTACTAGATTATCTTTAATAGTACTTTTCAGTGGGTTTATGCGCTGTCACCGAGTGACCCACAATACCAAGCCTTAGCTAGCTGTTTATGAGCATGGCTACCAAATGAGAAATAACAGGGTGGGCATTTGGTGTAATGGTTAAGCTGCCACTTGGAACACCTGCATCTCCGAGTGCCTGGGTTCAAGTCTCGGTTCTGCTCTCAAATCCAGCTTCCTTCTAAGGTGCATTCTGGGAGCAAGCAGGTGATTGCTCAAGTACATGGGTCTTTGTAACCCACTTAGGAGACCTGGCCTGAGTTCCCAGCTCCTGGCTTCAGCCTGGGCCAGTTGCTCAGCTGTTGTGGGCATTTGGGGAGTGATCCAGCAGATGGATGTTCTCTGTCTGTCTCTCTGCCTTTCAACTAAAAAAGAACGAATCCCCCAAACTCTCCATTTAAAAAAAATGAGAAAAAATATTTTCCACTCAACTTTTTAATTAAAATTTAAATTTTCTCATAGTAGGTAATCACAGTGCTACTAGTAACATAAATCATCATATTTGATGTTAACATTAAGTGGTAGTTAAAGTCTTAGATACAGTAGAGACATTATTTGCCTTGCTTAGGGTTCGCTCACAGTCACCAATCAGGGATGGCTCCACCCTGCCTTTCTGTTCAGGCCAGAGGGCCGTTTCTTTCAATTCATTTTGAAGATTTTTCTAGAAGATTTTACTTCTAGAATAATCTTCAGTCCTTCTGAGCAGTTTGTCATAAAAAAAGAAGAAAACCCTCATAGACAGTTATTCTTATCTCCCAGCGCAGCAGGTCCAAAAGTGTATTTGTGAGTTAAAAACAAACCAAAAACTCTCTTATAGCCCAGTAAGTGTAGGAAAATGTGATCTAAATGGGTTTCTTCACCCTAAAACACCTGCCAGCGCGTGCTGAGACCCCACAAGAGGCTGCATTCCTGCGTGCAGCCGTTCCTACACGTGTGTGAACACAGAACGTGGGAGATGAGGGTGGGCGGGCTGGAGCTGCTCTCACTCCAGGTCCAGGGTTCCGTGGAACGCCTTCGCTGACAAGCCTGTTTAGGTGCTGTCTTCACACCCAGCCTCTTCTCTCCTGATAAACGACGGTGTGTGTTTTTAAATAGAAAGTTTTTTAAAGGCCATTTCTTTCATACAGTCCCAATGGTAGAAATTTCCTGAACCCCAAACAGAAGAGGAAAAAGGAAAACCAGAGTCCCAACCAATGTGTCTCTGGCATGCACCTGCCCATCATTGTCTTCCTTTATTAAAAAACATTTATTTTGTATTTATTTGAAAAGCAGAGTTAGAGAGAAAGAGAGAGAGAGTTACACACAGAGAGAGAGAGAGAGAGAGAGAGAGAGAGGAAAATATGGAGAGAGAGGTCTTCCTTCTGCTGGGTCACTCTCCAAATGGCCACAACAGCCAGAGCTGGGCCAGGCCAAAGCTAGCAGCCAGGAGCCAGGAGCTTCATTCAGGTCTCCCACATGGGTACAGGGGCCCAAGTACATTAGTAGCGAGCTGGATTGGAAGTGGAGCAGCCAGGACATGAACCAGCACCTAGATGGGATGTTGGTGTTGTAGGTGGTGACTTTCCCATGGCACTAGCCTTAGTATCTTCCTCTTGTCTGAAGAGGTGTCAGTCTCTTCATGACTTTGCTTCCCTACAGCTCCGTAGAAGGGAGAATAGACTTGGAGTATGATGTGAGAACTCTTGATGTCCCATTAACTGCTTTTCCATTCCATGAAATCCTTGCTTCAAAAGAATGAAGTGAGGCTGAATGGGACACTCTCTCGGCCACATGCCCGAGATGCATTGGGAAGCCCACTGGTGCTTCTGGGAGGTGACTGAGGGGTTCAGCCTCCTTCCTGATCTAGGTGAGGTGTGAGTTCACCGAGCACTGCTGTAAGCCTTGGCCCCGTGCTCCTGCCTAAGTTCAGCAGTGTGGCCAAGGAGAGCAGTCAGAGGCACTTGGGGAGAAGGTGATTATTCCCACCACCACCATTTTGTTCCTGGTGTACACTGGACACAAGCCAGAATCCATCATGATCTCCTAAGGGCCTTGACTAAATATTTGTTAGGATTTACTGAAAACTGTTGGGAAACTTTATTTTGTTTACATGTCCACCCGAATATGAGATTACTCAGGGGTTGATGGTTACATATCGACAGATCCCATCCAAAGTACTGACTCCAGGAGATCCTTGTTTAGAATTCAAGGTAATAAAATGGGACAACCTGGCAGCCAGAACCACTCAAGCCTGACCTTGAGGCGCTCCACAAGCCAGTCCATCTCTGCAGCTCCACACCCTTGTTTCCCCCTAGGAATGGGTCTGCTCCAAATCCTGGGGCTCTGCGCCCTGGCCGCATGCTGCGGGGTTGTGTCTGTACCCCAGCCGTTCCTCAAGGACACACCTCTGCTCTCCCGGAACTGCAATGACTCAGATGTGCTGTCGGTCTCAGGCTTCGCCCTGCAGGACATCAACAGAGACCAAAAGGACGGCTACGTGCTGAGCCTCAACCGAGTGAGCCGCGTCTGGGAGCACACACAGGCAAGTGATGCTGTCCGCACTCAGGCAGTCATTTAGACAGCTGCAGAGGCTGGCCGGTGGCTGGGAACCCTCAGACAGGTTGGCAGGTACTTTCAAGATTGGGAACTTGGCCGAGAACCTGACAACATTCTATTCTCCACCAGGCATGCTACTATTCTCTTGTGATCAAGAGCCAGTGCAGAGATCCTACTCTGACATTTGTCTAGGGGCCATAACTTTCAAGGTGTCGCCACAAACACCATATCCTTTGGCTGTCTCAAAAAGCAGAGACTTGTCCAGTCTTTGAGTTCCAGCTCCCTGTGGGATGTGATGTGTTTCTCTACCCCTTCCCACAGGATCACCTAGGGTCTGTGTTCTATCTCGTGTTGGACGTGTTGCAGACTGGCTGTCATGTGCTCAGCAAGAAGGCGTGGCAAGACTGTGCGGTGAGGACCTTGCACACCTCAGTAAGTACTCATTCTCGGGGCTCCAGGAAAGAGACTAGGTGCCCTCTTTCTCCAGGTGCAGGTGGTTTGCTGTCTGCCCTCTTTCTCCAAGTGCAGGTGGCTTGCTGTCTGCATGCTTTAACTGGCCCTCTTTGTAGCCTGAAGAGAGGGTGCCCACATGCTTATTTTCATGCTGGAGACAGAATCAAGTCTAACCCATCAGAGGGGTTTCTAGAAAGTTCCACTAGGGTCATGCTGCCCAGAATTGAAAAGGTGTCCCCAAATTGGTTTTGTTTTAATTTTTCTTTTTATATACTAGTTTTGTTATTCATTAGCATGCAATACCGTGCACTGTTACAGGGTATGGTACACTATTTCCACACATGCAGGTAGTGTAAATAGAGCAGATCGGGCAGTTATCCCCTCCTCTCACCCTTTCCAGCCTGTAGTAATCACCATTCTAAGGTCAGAGTAACTTTTTAAACTCCCACGTATGGGAGAGAAATGCAATAATTTGTCTTTCTGTGTCTAACTTCTTTCACTTAACATAACCCCCTCCAATTCTATCCATTTTGCTATGTCAGGGTTTAATTTAATTTAATTTAATTTTAGAGCGAAGAGACAGAGCTGTCATCTAGTAATTTATTCCCCAAATGCTCCCAGTGGCCCCAGGCTGGATGCCAGGTCTGGGAGCCAGGAACTCAATCCAGGTCTCCCACAGGTCTCCCACTACTGGCAGGAACCCAGTCGCTTGGGTCCTCGCCACTGGCCCTCAGGGTCTGCATAGGATTTCATTCTTTTCCCAGAATTGCTTTCTACCTCAAGATCCTCCTGTAGCTCTCAGCCATTTGTTTACATTGGAAGCAAAAAACCAGAGGCAAAGATTCTGGATGTGGAGTTAAGGAGTGCAGAAATTATGGAAGGAGGGCTTTTTATACTTCTTTTATATTTGCTCTGTTTTGTCTTAATGAATGCTAATGCAAGGGCTGTGGCTAGAGAAAGGGATGGCTTATAGTGTAGGAGCCCTTAGGGGTACCTTGGAAGGATTTCCTCAATCATAGAATCTCAATGGCCTCAGAATTGATCCTTTTAAAGATGAATAGAAAAAGAATAGTTTTGTTTGATTCTCGATTATCCTGGGATTAACATTAATTGACATGAACTGTGTAACCTGAGTACCTGATAATGACGTCTTTGAAAGAAAACTTTTCAAATCATGTAACCAAATTTGTTAAACTGCATGGACTGATTTTGAAAAGCAAATAGTCGATTTCCCTGCTGTGGATTTTGTTAAGATGACGCTAACTGCTGGAGCACGCGCACGGACAGGGATGTACTCACATCACGTGGTAGAAGTTTGCTTCCCACTCATGAGAAGTTCATGTCCAAGACACTGCCACCTGTAACTCATGGCTTCCACAGTGCTCTGCATCATTATGGAAAGAGAATTTTTAAATCCATGCACAGTATTTTCATAATATATGTTTTCCATAAACATTTTGAAGACCCCTTGAATGCATAGATTTCAAAAATTTTTGCACCAAAATAAACTTAATTGTTAGTTCTGTTTCTTCACAAACTTTTTTGATGTTCCTTTTTATACTCACACTTAATCATGGGGGAGGCTTGGAAATGTGTGTGCCCAAGAAGAGGTCAAACAGCTGGGTGGTGATCCACTGCAGCTCCCCCCACTCCAAATCCCTTAACGTCATCTTAAGTTTCTCATTACTTAAAAGTATACAAGTTTCATTGCAGGAGTAGTTCATTCTATAGTGTCACATAATGTATTTCTTGGTTACAGGTTTATGGACAGTGCAAAGCACTGTTTTACATTAATAAGCCAAGAAGAATCCTCTATTCAATTGCTTATAACTGTACTCTTCGCCCAGGTAAGAAATGTTAATTTTAATAAAAGAGGGAAAAGAGCATTTAACCAGAGTTTTGTCAAGCGTGGCTAGGGTTTCTACCATGTTTACATGTTTATTTCATCTTCATTCCAATACCAGTTGCTTAATCTTTCTAGGACTTGCCTTCCCACTAAATGTCAACATACACCTCTCATCTTTCAGTTAATCTTCCTAAATCATCTCCAATAGCTCTCCATTGTGTCCTGCATTAAATCCTAAGTGTTCAGTCTTCCATAAGTGGCCAGACCTGTATGACTGATCCCTCGGCTCGCTTCCTACTGTCTCTGCCGTTACTGCCCTGGCATCATCACCTCTATGCTCCATTCAACTGGATGCCAGTTCTCTGAACACATATTGCACTTTGCAACCTCTGCTTCTTGCTGCTGTCTCTCCCTCCACTGAGCATGCCCTCTCCCCCAATGACCTCTACCCTTCAAACCCATACCCACTCTTGAGGGACCACTGCCATGCTGGTTTTTCCACAATGTCCTCTGTTTAAGACAAGAAGAACAGTCTCCTGTCATAGTCACATTCCTATAAAACTGGCCAAACCACTCAGGGAGCACAGAGCCTGCACTCCCTTGATTTGGAATCATATGTCTTGTTGCCCAGAATATTTTATCCCTGATACATGTTCCCCTAGTCCCTTTCATGTGTAAGGAGTCATTACTTCTGTTAAATAAATGAGTTAATGGCCTAAATATGAAGTTGAAGCTAAGGACATTTGAAAGAGGCATATGCATTCAATCTGGATCGTCCTTTTCCAAGGGAAAGTCCTTGGAAAGCAAGCTTCTGTCAACATAGAGAAGCATAGGAAGATAGAAGATGGCTACTTCAAGTGCTATCTGCCTGTGAGTCCCTTGGTGAGTCTAGTTAAAGTGCAGGTTCTAATCCTTGAAACCTGCATACCTACCCAGCTCCAGGTTAAACCACTACTAACTCGTTGAATAACCAGACAACGGAGCAAACATTTCAGCAGCCACAGCTTAAGGCTCCTGGCTTTGAAGTCCAAGACTCAGCTAAAACAAATTAGGGACCAGCAGCTGGAAGTAGTCTTAGTGCCTAAATGGAAGTCCTAGGCACCAGGACTGCGGGAGGTCAGGCAGGGACACGTGACGAGGAGGCAGAGTCCCAAGCCTTGGATGTAGCCCCCCTCAACCTCCCTCAGTCCCCAGAAGCACACACATAAACACAGTTAATCAAAGCAATGTGTTTTCTCTGCACAAAACCGCTTCAAATACAAGTTCTCTACCCTTTCACACTAGGTTTGTCAGCAGCTCTCCTCCCAGAGAGTCCAGCTGTGCCATTAGGATGATCATTCTGTCTGATCACACAAAGATTCGATGATTTTCTGTTTTCTGGATCACTTGCTTTTTGTATCCAAAGAGGGTGTGCTTCCGCCTTCCATTATGTCCTTCACTTAGCCATTCGTTCTATAAGCATCTTCTAGGCACTTACGATGTGTTAGGTATTAGGCTGCGTGTTAGGGGCTGAAAGGTGAAGAAGACCTGGCAGTAAGGACTCCCAACCTTGTAGGGCACTCAATCTACTTTACAGAGGCAATGATGAGAAAAGATATTGAAATCATTGGGAGGAGAAGGTCTTATATCTATATACAATACTATGTGTTTTTGAATAAAATCCCTAGAGTAAATACATTTGTGTGAAGTGAAAAATATCTAGCTTTGATTTGATTTTTAAGTATGAAAGTGAAACAGCCCATTATAGAAAATTCACTTCCAACAGCTAACTTCCTTTCCAGAAAATGTCTTCCTTAACCCATCTTTGCCAACACTAATGTAATATCTTTTCTTATTCAACCTTTGCCTCTGCTACAGGCATACAATGTATGACTATTTATAGGGTCGGTAGTGGATAATATTTTAAAACTACTTTCATTGTCACCACCAGTTTCTCGAAGAAAGATTCACTCTAAATGCCCTGACTGTCCGAGCCCCAGCCGCATTGATAAGTCAGATCCTAGGGTCTTGGAAGCTGCCGTTGAGTCCCTTGCAAAATTCAACCGTGAGAGCACTTCGAAGCAGTATTCTCTTGTTAAAGTCACCAAAGCTACTAGCCAGGTAAGGTTAAAATGTCTGGGCCAGTTACACAAGCAAGGTGTCTCATAATTGCTGCTAGAGGTTCCTAGGCTGAGAAGAGTGTATCAAGGCACTACTTTTGATTGGAACCCAATAGCCTTTCTCTGGATTCTCAATTTTGATAGACCTGATGTACCTTCAGTCATGTTTCAGTTTCTGAATGATTTCATGGCATTTCCACAAGAGTCATGTGTCTCAGTTTTGCCTCATCAACCCTAAGGCAAGGAGAGAAATTGACTCACAATGTCTTTGAGGGATTCTGTGTTGGTTTACTTCTTACTGCTACTATTTTCTTTTCTAATTGACCATGGACCATATAGCAAGACAATTCTCACACCATATCAAGGCCTGGAGTTGATATTGAGCCTTACGGGTTAGGCAAAATGGAAACTCATTTGTAATTGGATTGATATCTCTCTCACACACAAAAAAAACTAATCTGAAAGATGAATATATAAGAGGAAAAATAAGTTCACCAATGGAAGGTAAGTAGGGCCCATTCAAATCTCTAAGAAAGCAAGAAGGATATGATGATTGTGTTTTCTAAATAACAATGCATGGTTTGATCAGTGTGGGGACTGGCAGGAATGATGGCTGTGGAATTGACAATGCCTGTGGGAAGGGATCATTTCTGTGACTGTGATGCTGCCAAGTCTGAGGCTTCCCCTATGTGAGGTTCGGTTTTCATGTCTTGACTCTTGTCTCCTAACAGTGGATGGGCAGCCTGGCTTACTTTGTGGAGTATTTAATCCAAGAGTCACCATGCACCAAATCCCAGGCTGGCAGCTGCTCCCTTCAGCCTTCTGACTCTGTGAGTATTCTTGAATTTCTTCATAATGTAAGATGTATGTTCAAACATTATTTCTAAGTATTTGTTGACAATAAGTTATGTGTGAGGTGTTCTAAAGCAAGAGCTATTTTTCCTCCCCTCCAGAAGTAACTGTGTAGAAAAATGAAGGCCAGGTATGATAATATGGCTTTATTCTGTTATAAGGATGATTTTCATTATCAGTGTGATTTAATTGCAAAAAATGATCATGGGGACTACAAAAACACAGATAATTCTCCTGGTGGTTGGTGATGAACCTGCTTGATCTGAATAAATCTGGTTACATTTGGAATACATCACTCTTTATTATTATTATTATTATTTTAACTGAAAAGTGTTGTAATCACCTTTATTTTTTTCTGTGTCCCCCCATCCAGGAACCTTTTATTTAAGGAGTACAAATTTCATGTATTTCATAAGTAAAACCCACCTCCCCCACCTCTCTTCCTCCTCCCTCGCCTATCCCATTCTTATTTTTTACTAAAATCTATTTTCAATTAACTTTATACATATATGATTAACTCTACATTATGTAAAGAGTTCAGCAAATAGTATGAAAGAAAAAAACTCTTCCTCAACAATTGAGACAAGGGCTATTCAAAGTCATTGCATCAGAGTGTCAATTTCACTTCTACAGATTACCTTTTAGGTGCTATATTAGTTATCATAGATCAGGGAGGACAAAGTGTATTTGTCCTTTTGGGACTGGCTTATTTCACTAAGTATGATGCTTTCCAGTTTCATCCATTTGTTGCAAACAGGATTTCATTTTTTTTTACTGTTGTGTAGTATTCCATGGTGTACATATCCCATAATTTCTTTATTTAGTCTTCAGTTGATGGGCATTTGGGTTGATTCCATATCATAGCTATTGTGAATTGAACTTCAATATACATGGGGATATAGATAATTCTTTTAAATGCTGATTTCATTTCCCTTGGGTAAATTCCCAGGACTGGGATGGCTGGGTCATATGGTAGGTCTATATTCAGATTTGTTGATTTCTGTATGAAAGCCATTCTAATGGAGGTGAGGTGAAACCTCATTGTAGTTTTGATTTGCATTTCCCTGATGGCCAGTGATCCTGAGCATTTTTTCATGTGTCTGTTGGCCATCTGGATTTCCTCTTCTTAAAAATGTCTGTTTCAATTCTTTGCCCAGTTCTTAACTGGGTGGTATATTTTGTTGTTGTTGAGTTTCTTGATCTCTTTACATATTCTGGTTATTAAGATTTTATCAGTTAGATAGTTAGCAAACAATTTCACCTAATCTGTTGGTTGCCTCTTCACTTTCCCAAGTGTTTCTTTTGCAGTGCAGAAGCTTCTCAATTTGATGTAATCCCATGTGTCAATTTTGGTTTTGATATTCTGGGCCTCTGGGGTCTTTTCCAAGAACTCTTTTCCTATGCCAATGTCTTGCAGGGCTTCCCCAATGCTTTCTAATAATTTGATGGTATCAGGTTTTAGATTTAGGTCCTTGATCCATTTTTAGTGGATTTTGGTGTAAGGTATAAGGTATCTTGCCTTATAGTTCTGTATATGGAGATCTAGTTTTCCCAGCACCATTTGTTGAAGAGACTGTCCTTGCTCAAGGGATTGATTTTAGCTCCTCTGTCAAAGATAAGTTGGTTGTAAATGTGTGGGTTGATTTCTTGTGTTTCTATTCTATTCCACTCATCTGCTTATCTATTTTTGTACCAAAATGAGGCAGTTTTGATTATAACTGCCCTGTACTATGCCTTGAAATCTGGTATTGTGGTACCTCTGGCTTTGTTTTTGTTGTATGAGATTGCTTTAGCTGTTTGGGGTCTCCTGTGTTTTCATATGAATTTCAGCATCATTTTTCCTATATCCGAGAAGAATGTCCTCAGTATTTTGATCGGTATCGCACTGAATCTATAAATTGCTATTAGTAGTATGGACATTTTGATGATATTGATACTTCCAATCCATGAACATGGAAGATTTTTCCATTTTTATGTCCTTTTTAAAAATGTTTTATAATTCTCATTGTAGAGATCTTTGACATTCTTGGTTAAATTTATTCCAGGGTATTTGATTTTTTGTGGCTATTGTGAATGGGATTGATCTTAGAAGTTCTTTCTCAGCCGTGGCATTGTCTATGTATACAAAGGCTATTGATTTTTGTGTGTTGATTTTATATCCTGCCACTTTACCAAACTCTTCTTTGTTCCAATAGTCTGTTAGTGGAGTTTTTTGGATCCCCTATATATAGAATCATGTCATCTGCAAGTAGGGATAGTTTGACTTCCTCCTTCCCAATTTGTATCCCTTTGATTTCTTTTTCTTGCCTTATATATCTGGCTAAAACATCCAGGACTATATTGAATAGCAATGGTGAGAGTGGGCATCCATTTCTGGATCCAGATTTCAGTGGAAATGTTTTCAGCTTTTCTTCATTTAATAAAACATTGGCCATGGGTTTGTTTAAATTGCCTTGATTGTGTTGAGGACTGTTTCTTCTATACCAAATTTGCTTAAGATTTTCATCATGAAAGGGTCTTGTATTTTATCAAATGCTTTATCTGCATCTATTGAGATAATCATATAGTTTTTGTTCTTCAGTTTATTAATGTAGTGTATCACATTGATTGATTTGTGAATGTTGAACCATCCCTGCATACCAGGGATAAACCCCACTTAGTCCAGGTGAATGATCTTTCTGATGTGTTGTTGGATTTGATTGGCTAGTATTTTGTTGAGAATTTTGGGGTCTACATTCATCAGGAAAATTGGCCTGTAGTTCTCTTTCTCTGTTGTATCTTTTTCAGGTTTAGGAATTAAAGTGATGCTGGCTCCATAGAAGAGTTTGGGAGGATTCCCTCCATTTCAATAGTTTCAAATAGCTTGAGAAGATTTGGAGTTAGTTCTTTAAATGTCTGATAGAATTCAGCAGTGAAACCATCTCGTCCTGGGCTTTTCTTTGTTGGGAGTGTCTTTATTACTATTCAGTTTCTGTCTTGGTTATTGATCTGTTTAGGTTTTCTTCATGGTTTAGGTTTAGGTGTCTTCGTGGCTTAATTTAGGTAGGTTGTATGTGTACAGGAATCTATTACTTCTACGTTTCCTGATTTGTTGGCATACAGCTCTGTTTTTTTTTTTTTTAAGATTTATTTTATTAGAAAGTCAAATTTACAGAAAGAGAAGGAGAGGCGGGGTGGGGGGGTCTTCCATCCACTGGTTCATTCCCCAGATGGCCGCAATAGTCGGAGCTGCACTGATCCGAAGCCAGGTGCCAGGAGCTTCTTCTGGGTCTCCCACGTAGGTGCAGGGGCTCAAGGACTTGGGCCATCTTCTAGTGCTTTCCCAGGCTATAGCAGGGAGCTGGATAGGAAGTGGAGCAGCTGGGACTCAAACTGGAGCTCATATGGGATGCTGGCACTTCAGGCAGCAGCTTTACCCTCTTCACCACTGTGCCAGTCCCAACATACAGCTCTTTGTGATAATTTCTGATGATTGTTTTCATTTCTGTGGTGTCCATTGTTACATTGATTTTTCATCTCTAATTTTATTGATTTGGGTCTTCTCCCTCCTTTTTTTGGTTCATTGGGCCAATGGTGTGACAATTGTATTTTTTCAAAAAACCAGTCTTCATTTCGTTGTTCTTTTGTATTAATTTTTTGTTTCAATTTTGTTTATTTCTTCTCTAATTTTAATTATTTCTTTTCTCATTCTAGTTTTGGGTCTGGTTTGCTGTCATTTTTCTAGGTCCTTGAGATGCATTGATAGCTCATTTATTTAGTGCCTTTCCAATTTCTTGATGTAGGCACCAATTGTATAAACTTTCCTCTTAACACTGCTTTTGCCGTATCCTGTAAGTTTTGATATGCCATATTTTTGTCTTCATTCATTTTCAGAATTTTTTTTCTTTCTCTTATGATTTCCTAAATGACCCACTGTTCAATCAGCAGCATATTGTTCAGTCTCCATGTGTTTGCATATGTTCTAGAAATTCTTGAATTGTTGATTTCCAGCATCATTGCATTGTGGTCAGAGAACATGCATGGTGTGATTCTGATTTTTTTGAATTTGCTGAGACTTGCTTTATGGCCTGGCCTATCCTAGAGAAAGTTCCCTGCACTGGTGAGAAGAACATGTATTCTGCAACTGTAAAATGGAAAGTTTTGTAGATATCTGTTAGGTCTATTTTGTCTATAGTGTCGATTAACTCTGTTGTTTCCTTGCTGATTTCTGTCTGGTTGATCTGTCCATTGCTGAAGGTGGGGTATTGAAGCCCTCTATTACTATTGTGTTGCAGTCTATGCCTCCCTTAGCCAGGTGCCCTGATATTAGTTGCATATGCATTTATAATAGTCACATCTTCCTGTTGAATGGATCCCTTAATCATTAAATAGTGCTCTTCTTTATCTCTTTTAACAGTTTTTATGTTAGTCTATTTTGTCTGATATTAGAATGGCTACACCAGCTCTTTTTTGGTTTCTGCTAGCATGGAATATTTTTTTCCATCCTTTCACTTACAGTCTGCATGCATCTTTGTTGGTGAGATGTGTTTCTTGTCAGCAGCAAATAGATGGGTTTTGCTTTTTAATTCATTTAGCCAGTCTGTGTTTCTTAACTGGAGAGGTGAGGCCATTTACATTCAAGGTGACTATTAGGTAATGACTTGGCCCTGCCATTTTCCCATAAATATTCCTATTGTTTATTTTGGATTTCCTTTGTACTTTTACTAGGAGAGTTTTTGCTCTCACTTTTCATAGTGATGACTATGTTTCTGTGTGTAGCACATCCTTAAGCATCTTTTGTAAGGTTGGATGAGTGATGACAAATTCAATTTCTGTTTGTTATGAAAGTTCTTTATTTCCCCTTCATTCATAAAAGAGAGCTTTGCAGGGTACAATATTCTGGGTTGACAGTTGTTTTCTCTTAAGACTTGGAATGTATCTTACAATTCTCTCCTAGCCTTCAGGGTTTCAGATGAGAAGTCCACTGTGAGTCTAACTG